ATTGATAAAATAAAATAACACAATAAAATTCTAACGACGTTTTGGCCACAACACAAGCGGCCTTCATCAGGTGAAGGGACGAGACAGTCTCGTCCCTTCACTTCAATTTATTATTTTATTCTCATTCTACCTGACTTTACCGAAAGAACCAAAGAAGATAATTTAGGGTAGTTGCGTAATTTTTCCAAAATTATTTTAATTTGTATTATTTTCCTCAAACTTTCATAACCTATATATACAACAGGTCCCCCTCTTTAAGAAGGGGGACCGCACAGACTGTAACAACTACAGCGGCATCTCACTCCTCAGTGTGCCGGGAAAGGTCCTGGCAAGGATTGTTCAACATCGCCTTGCTAGGCATGCTGCAGAGAGGCTTGCGGAGCCCCAATGCGGTTTCAGGAAAGGGCGGTCCTGCACAGATGCCATATTTTCTGTCCGTCTGCTACAGTAGAGGTGTAGGGAATTATAACAAGACCTACATCTCTGCTTTATTGACCTGGTCAAAAGACCTATGATACCACCAATAGGCCTGGGCTCTGGGTTGTTCTTCGTGCTTTCGGAGTCCCTGACCCTCTGCTCACGATCATTAAAGACCTTCATGATGGTGAGCGGGCCCGGGTAAAACTACGTGGCCAGGAGTCAGAGCCATTACCTGTACACCTTGGGGTGCGAGAGGGATGTCCTCTGGCTCCCACATTATTTAACATCTATTTTGACAACATAGTTCGTGAAGCCTTCAATAGCTGTACTGGAAGAATTTCCATCTGGTACAGATAAAATGGGAGGCTGATCGATGCCCGGGTGCGGTTTAAGGGATGGCCCCCTATTGCTCAACCACGTTATGTATGCCGATGATCTGGTAATTGCTGCTCACTCAGAGTATGAGTTGGAGGCGCTGCTGCTGAACCTGGAGCTTGCCACCAAGAGGTGGGGCCTTACCATCAGCCCCACCAAAACTAAGCACCTACCTGGGTATTTTGTACCATCGGACACTCCACCCCCACAACTCCCAATTGGTGATAGGGCAGTTGTGGAGAGAGTGGAGAGTTTCCCATACCTTGGCAGTGTGCTCATGACCGGCTCTGGTTTAACAGCTGAGGTCACACTCCGAATCAGTCGAGCGTCATTGTTTTTTCATCGGTTGCGTAACGCTGTTTGGAAGCCTCCTGGTCTCTCGCTCCACACGAAGCTTCAGGTCTTCTCGGCCACAGTCATTCCCTCCTTTCTCTACGCTTGCGAAACGTGAACCCCCCTAATGGAACATCTTCGCCGGTTATAAACATTAAGGCTGGCCTGCCTACGTTCCATCCTGGGTTTAACCAGGCTGGATTGTGTGAGCTCAGAAATCCTTGAAAGATCTGGACAAAGTCCCATCGGTGAGATCCTCTGGCAGGCAAGGCTGCGTTGGCTGGGTCACGTAGCCCGCACACCCAGCCATGGCATGCTTAAACAGCTTTTGTTCGGCCGGATCGAGGGGGCAAAACGATTGCGGCATGGGCTAGAGAAGAGATGGAGTGATTTGATACAGGAGGATGTGGAGCTGAGTAGACTTGCTGATGACTGGTAGCAGTGGTGTCAAGATCGGCCTCTGTGGAGGAGGCTCATGAAGGACGCTACTGGGCAGTTGGAGGCAGTCGCCCTCCAACAACAACGGTGGGCGGAGGAGTGACGCTCACAACGAACGGAGCGCCGGGTGGCTAAAGCACAGCAAGTTGGCACTGTAGGGGGTGCAGGTGGTGCATCAGCCAGTCATCTCAGTCAGTCGACCCATGGCATCTGGGTCTGCCCCGTGACCTCCTTCCAGCGGGCATTTGACACTTCACGTGGCCTCAAGGTGCACATAGCCTGGCACAAGCGTCGTGGTGACAATCTAGATTTCAAGCTTTCGTGACTGCAGGAATCCATAATCTCTGGTTGATGATTGCTTGTGTTGCAATCGAAACGTCGTGATTTATTTTTATTTTATACCTATGTGACTTTACCAAAAGAACCAGAGTACGTCGTGGTGACGTCACCACCACTTAGTGGCAAATGGCAGTTGTTGTTGTGTGTGGACACACCTTGCAACGCTTTTAACTGACAAACTGTGAGGTTTCCGTTTCAAAAACGTACCCAGATACCACACGATAAGCCCCGGGATGAGACAGCGCTATTTGTATTTCCCATCTGTCAAGTTTAAAGTAGTTAAATTAACAATTTATTACTTTTATAAGCAGACAGCGGCGCCAAAGTATGCATCGGCGCATGCGCGAGAACGCTGACTCGGTGGGGGCGGGGGAATTCTCATTTGTGCTCAAAATGTAAAAAAACCACAACGCTGAGGTAAATTCTTCAAAGTGTGATGTCCTCTTCTCCCCCCCACCCCAATGTCTGCAATCACTACTATAGAGTCGGTAGATATTACTATAGGCCATCGGTACTTCGACTGTAGAGCAGGCGGGGGATGGGGGGGGGGGTGCAGCACAGTCCCAGCCGGCCAAGGCGCCAGTAGATACTACTGAGTCAGTAGATACTACTAAAGTCAGTAGATTGCCGCTACGGTCAGTAAATAGTCAATAGATACTACTGTAGAGTTAGTGGATACTACTACAGTCAGCAGATACTACTGTACAGTCAGTAGATACCACTGTAGAGTTAACAGTTACTACCATAGTCAGTGGAAACTACTATAGAGTCAGTAGTTACTATTATAGAGTCGGTATATACTACTATAGTTAGTAGATACCACTATAGTCAGTATATACTGCTGGAGTCGGTAGATACGACTATAGAGGCAGTAGATACTGCAATTGTCAGCAGATACTGCTATAGAGTCTGCAGATACTACTATAGAGTCAGCAAATGCTACTGTAGTTAGTAATTACTACTATAGTCAGTAGATACTACTATAGGGTCAATATATACTACTATAGATTCAGTAGGCACTACTATAATTAGATACTAGTGTATAGTAGATACTATATAGTCATTAGATACTACGACCATTAGTAGACACCACTACAGTCAGTATATACTCCTGCAGAGTCAGTAGAAACGACTATAGTGTCAGTAGATACTGCCATAGTCAGCAGATACTGATATAGTCAGTAGATACTGCTATAGTCAGCAGATACTACTATCGTCAGCATATACTATAGAGTTAGTAGTTACTATGTTCAGTAAATACTACCGTATTTTCCCGCATATAACCCGCGGGGTATACCACTTTTTACAAACAAAACAAGACTCTGCGGGGTATATGGAGGTGCGGGCTATCCCAAAAATATTTTACACATGTGACATGTTTAATTCGTTTATTTTTTTCATGGTAGGACTGTCCACTATGCAACACTTAAGTTTGACTAAAGCACTGCTGAATAAACCACTCACACTAAAATTGCACATGTTATCACGTTTTAAATGAATTGTTTGTACAATTAAACAATGTTTGAAGTGCGCGCAGTGTTTACCGGCGACTGGAGAGCGGTGGGGAGAGAGAGGTGGGGGTTGGGGGGAGAGAGAGGTGGGGGTTGGGGGGTGGGGCAGCTGGGGGGAGAGAGAGGTGGGGGGTGGGGCAGAGCAAGGTCTGTGGTGGTGACTGGAGAGCTGGGAGGGGAGAGAGGTGGGGGTTGGGGGTGGGGCAGAGCAAGGTCTGTGGTAGAGACGGGAGAGCTGGGATGAGGGAGAGTTGGGTGAGTTGTAGGCGAGGCAACGGTGTCATCGTTGTGCTGCTATTATCTGCACAGTGCGCAATCTACCAGTGCTAAAACTGTACTTATCTACCAGTTATGTTACTTATTTATTGGATATTTACTTTTGTTACTTATTTACTGTTTTAAGTTCACTCGTTTCCAGTTAGTTTGTTTTCTTTGTGCACATTATGATTTTAATGTTAACAATTGATAGTGGAATGTATTACAAATGTAAACTTCGTATTAATATGATGGAATTAAGCTGCGGTAACGACGTTAAATATATGAATACATGCGGTGTATATTGAGGTGTGGGCTATCTGAAATTTGTTTTACACAAAATGCTATTTTTTCGGGGTATATGCGTCTGTGGGTTATATGCTTATGCGGGCTATATGCGGGAAAATACGGTACTATAGATTCGGTAGATACTCCTGTAGAGTCAGTAGTTACGACTACTGTCAGTAGATACTCGAGTCAGCAGATACTACTATAGTCACACAAACTCGTGTGGAGGCAACACTATTTATTTAACACACAACTGTTACACACACTATACATAGGGTGGTGACCACAGTCCTAGTCTCACTAACACTCGGGTACTACTTGGCGTGGCCAAGCCAGGAGGGCTTCTGCTTGGCCACGGCGACTTGGGGCTTCCAGTCTTCATGAGGCGTCTTCATCCCAGGCACGAACAGCCCCGCTCCCTCAGCGGCGCCCGCTTATGAGCTCCGCGGCGTGGCCGGCCACACCCCGGTCACGCCCCCCTTCTCGAACCCTCAAGAAGGCTCCAAACCCCAACTACGTGACCCCAAGGTCCCCCCTGGGCCCCTGGCCCTCACCTTGATCCGGTCACGTGTTCAGTCGGGGTCACTCAGAGTGCCACGGCCTGCCACGACTCCCGTGGCACTCGTCAACGGCCTCCGCACTACCCGACCCGACAGTGACGTCATCCGAACCGACCCGACATGGTAGTGACATTATGTGTGTACAGACCCGACATGGTAGTGACGTCATATGTCACTACACTACTATAGAGTCAATATATACTACTGTAGTGTCAGTAGATACTCACGTAGAGCCAGATACTACTATAGTCACTAGATACTACTCACTCTATTGTATGTAGGATATGTAGTATATATGCCTATGGGGGGTAAAAAAAAAATAGGGAGGGGGAGTCGACAATAGTTGGAAACATTTCAGATCAACTATTTACCCCCCACTTTATATTACTTTTAGGACTTCTGCAAGCCTCTCATAATTTTGTTGACAGAAAAATGGACAAACGGAACGCCGGGCTTCCACAATAGCTTTGTATTTGTATATGTTATGTTTTTAAGAGAAGACAAGTTTTGAAATATATTTTTCCCCCGAGCAACGCTGGGTACTTCCTGCTAGTATATAAATAAAACATTAATAGATAACAAAATAAATTCGTAAAAAAAATCCCATGCAATTGCAGAATTAACACTCTCATGCTAAGCCTATTGAATAACATATGTAAACCAATTACGATTAATTATTTACAGCTATTTCTCATTTCCACTGCTGAATAAAGGTCTCCTTACGCTGTGTCGGTCGGAGGTATCGTTTGACAAGCGTGATAAACCATGGTCGAAGTGAATTGTTGAAGGGGATGGAGGGGGCCAGGACCAGTCCAGATATCACTAGCCACTGATGTTAGCTATGGCCAGGTACCAACTCAGTGGTCAGGTTCATAGTGTAGCATGTTAATATTGCATCACCGCTTCACCATAAAAAAAAGATCACAAAATGCAATTGCTGAAAATAATTTTCACAGGGTCATAATGGCCAATGGAACCACACCTCACCTTCGATCGCTTCCAGCCAGACACTGCTGTTGCAAAGGTGACGTAACTTATTAACAAATGCCCTAACTTTTCCCTAGCCCGAACCTACCCTTAGCCCTACTTGAATACATGCTGAACTCTACCTCATCGATCCACGACCCTTATTACCCACGGCTGCTAATATCCGCATGACACATAGGGTCTGTGGCCATATTCTTCCTGCTATCCATGATTATCCCTGGTTTTTCCCATCCTGCTTTATGCGACGGCTTCCTATCATCCATGAGTGAATTGATTTCAGTAGGCTGTTAACCACACAAGGGTTACACCTTGTATATACACTTCTTAAGAGCGTCCATCTCATGTCAATATAATATAAATGTTTAGTCCTCAGAACTGAAATATTGTAGCCATTGGTGACCAAGCTGAGACCAAACACTGTACACTTGAGAATCCGATTATATTTTTAATGCCTGAAACTCATATTCAAACCCAAATTTTCAATGGTTCTGGCTCCATGTCTCTCACAGAGCCATTATACCCCCTCTAAAAGAGAGTCAGATCTAGGATTTGTAACTAGCATGTCAAAAATGCCTTTTTGATTTCTCTGACACCACAATTATCCCACAGAGCCACCCTTTACGTGCCTCCTACTCTGCCGGTGGGCTTTGGGAGTCTCTGTCGGAGCTTGTGAATGGCAGCGGAGAGGCGGGAATTCTCGCTCTGTAGAATCCGAACCCGTGTGGTATTCGCTTGGATGTGCCTCTCCATGTCACCCAGCACATCCCCAGAGTCTGCATGTCACACACAACAACAACAATGCACTCAACAACATGACCTCGTGGGCTAGAATATAGGCAGCAGAGTCAACAGCACAGTTCGGTAGGCAGAGACTTTGGAGGCGGCAGAAGAAAATGGGTAACATCCCACTGAGCAAAGGTTGACTGGCGGCTTCAACAGAAAACCTTGGAGCAGGAAGATGAGAGGTAGGCAGGGGTAAGGCCATAGAGAATATTGATTTCACATGTAGCAATGCAAAATAGATTTTTGGGTTTGGCGACAAAATCTGGCCAAATTTATATCATGAAGACTCCCACCACCTGACAAAGCCAAAACAAATTGTCACATGAGGCATGAGTATTTAACAATGCACCAATGATTATTGTTTTAGCTCACACCGGTAAGTTACAGAACAATTCTCACGACAACATTTTGCAATTCGACTAACGATATTTCACTTGTAACAACAAGCATCTTCAAAACAAGATCCAGGAAGTCATGATCCCTGTGTCACCTGATCCATATTCTTAAATATAGTTTTTATGACCTTACAAGAACCAATCAGATTTGAACTCTATAGTAACCATTAAAATATATTCTAATTGTATTATATTGAACTGGGATAATTACTACTATAATGAGCCAAGAATGTGTTTGTAACGCACGTGACATGCCGCACCCCTCCCCCGCGTCATTAATATTCATGATCGGGTGGATTTTTACACTCACGCAGAAGGTTGAGCGGAAAGACATTTCTTTGGCAAATTCGCTTTCAGTTTCACATTTCTTTATTGAAAGTTAATCTAATTAATAATTCTACACTGCAACAGAGTGGATTTGGTGTCTTATTTATTTATTCAGCACTTGAGACAAAAGATGTCTAATTTATGCTTATACATTATGGTAAAATAGACATTTCTCAGTGATTTTCCAGATATTGTATCGATTACCAAATAATTTCAACCCCAGCGACTGAAAGCAGAAGAGAATAAAGTATCAGAGAATTGAATTTGAACAAATTGAAGGTCAGTTATATCCAGTGCTACAGTGACAGGAAGTCAGGTGTTTGATGACATACTTTCTTGCAAGATTCACTGCCATTAAATTTACACAAGACACAATTATACTCTGTTAAATTTTTTCGTAAATATTCCAGCTTCCGTCCTAGGACGGGCAAAAGTCTTGTTGTAATTAATAGTCTATGCATTATTCATTATAAACTACTCTTCATGTTATAGAGTGTGAATGCTGGTGCTGTGTACACTCGGGAATCAGCTCTGTGGGCGTATGCAGCTCTGGGTGGCAGATGAGTAGACGCTGTTGCTCCTGCAGGGCACTCAGAGCACGCTCCCGGTCCATAATAGCCTCTTCCGCCTCCTCCCTCCGCTTCTCCTCTTGCCTTGCTAGTTCCTAATAATCATACACGATCATTAAAAAATAGATATGCACACAATAGGTTTCCTTCAAATATGTCTCTCCACCTAAAATATAAAAGTATATCTTACATAAACCTATCAGCTGTTTAGCCTTCTCGGAGTGCATAATTTGAGCAGCATATAAGCCTGACTGCTGATGAGACAGTGTCAAAACATGTCCAGAATTTGCTTGAATTAAATCAATGCTGTCATGTGGCTGAGGGTTGAGTAAGAAATATTTTTTTGCATGGAGAGACATTGTCTGCTTTATCTATTTTGTTATATATATTCTCCCCTACAACACGAAAATTATTCTTAGATATATAATCATGAATCAATCACTGTGTAACAAAAATATGTTTATATTCTTAGTTTTTTCGGTAAAGTCACGTTGAAGAGAAACAACAAAATAATAAAATATATATAAAACAATAAAAAATTCTCACGACGTTTCGACCATAACTCAAACGGTCATCTTCAGGTGTGTTGGTTTGCATAAATTTATTTTTAAACGGCGCATTTATTTAATTATAAAAAACGTTGGCGTCACGCGCAGCGATTTGGCAGGTTGCCCAGGACTAGTCCATCTATTTTTTTTAAAAGAGGAGGGGGGAGACGAAATTTTTTATAATGTATGCTGTCTGAAAGCCACTGTAAGCGTGAACAATTAAGAACTGAAATGGTTTATCAAATCTTTCCAATGATTGCTAAGATAGAATCCATCTTCTCGGTTTAAATTGTCTCTGTGCTTGTATATGTGGATAGCCTCATGAACGAATCTCTCATGGAAGCCAGATGGCTTACAAAGAACCTCCGTCTTGGAAAAGTCAATGGCATGTGAGCCTACTGAATTAGAACAATGATCTGCTACGGCCGAGGTGTTGGTCTTAACGTGTTTAAGGTCTGCTTTATGTTCACGAATGCGGTCCGAGACATGGCGTTTGGTTTCTCCAATGTAACTACTACCACAGAGGCAACTTAGTTTGTAGACACCAGGGTATTGTATGTCCGGAATCACATCTTTTACAGACGGAACCAGATCACGGATTTTATGTAATGTGTTGAAACGGACCTGGATCTTGTGTTTATTCAAGATTTTGGAGATCTTTTTTGTGATCCCAGCAATGTAGGGTAAAGTGATGGTTTTGAAAGGCTCCTCAAGAGGGTTCTTCTTCATGGTTTGAGTGATAGCTTTGCGGATTGTATAGTCGGAGTAACCATTAGCCCTAAGAGCTTGGTGTACGTGCTTGAGTTCACTGCTTATGTGTTCCTGGTCGGATATGCATTGGGCTCTATGATACAGAGTCTTGATGAGAGAATTCTTCTGTGATGGATGGTGGTGGGAATCCGGTTTCAGATAAGCATCCGTATGGGTAGCTTTCCTGTAGACAGAGTGGCTCATTGAACCATCAGGTCTCTTTTTAATTAGGACATCCAAAAAAGGTATCTTGCCATCTATTTCGACTTCCATGGTAAATCTGATGGCTGGGTGTATGGAATTGATGTGGTCGAAGAATTGGTCTAGAGCAGGCCGGCCATGTGGCCAGATGACAAAAGTGTCATCCACGTACCTCTTCCATAAGGTTGGGCGCAGAGTGGCAGTCTGGATGGCGTCAGTCTCAAATTTCTCCATGAAAATGTTAGCTATAACTGGAGAAAGGGGGGAGCCCATTGGGGTTCCCTCAGTTTGTTTGTAGAAAGTTCCATTCCAAGTGAAGTATGTATTGGTTAAACAGTGTCTCACCAGGGGGGGTACCTCAGTGTTTAGTCCTTGATGAACCAAGTCTTCAATGATTGCAATGGTGTCAGGTACAGGAACCTTGGTGAATAAGGAAACTACATCAAAACTAACAAGCAGGTCGTCTGGGGACAGGGAAATACCCTTGATTGTCGATACCAGGTGAGTAGAATTTTGTACCGCAGAGGTGGTCTTTCCAGTGAAAGGACGCAGGATTTCAGACAAAAAACGAGCTAGTTTGTAGGTGGGGGAGCTGATAGTAGAGACTATGGGACGAAGAGGTGTATCAACTTTATGTATTTTTGGTAAGCCGTATAATCTTGGTGGCCTGGCAGCAGAAGGTTTCAACGAAAACTGTTTAGATTGATCAATTAATGCGGTTGAATCAGAAATTATTTTGTTGGTTTGTGTGACGAGGCTGTTGGTGGGATCTCTTTTTATTTTTGTATAACTACCATCGTCGAGTAATTCTTTAATTTTGTTGTTGTATTCTATTTTATCCATGATGATAGTAGCATTGCCTTTGTCAGCTGAGAGGACTACAATATCATTCCTCTTTTTTAATTTATATAATTCAAAACGCTCATCTTTGCTGAGGTTGCTAGCTGGCATCTTAGCGTTTTTGAGGGTTGCAGCGATTTCAGATCTTGCTACGTCTGCAGCGATGTGACCCAGGCCCCTGAGAGCAACGTCTACTTGGGCAATTATATCATTAACTGGTATGTGCTTAGGTGTGACTGCAAAGTTTAGACCTTTAGCTAAAACGGATTTCAGACCATCGGAAATAGAACTGTTACTGCGATTAATTACGACTTTATTAACGTCTAACTTTTTGGTGTGTGGGTCCGGTCTTTTGTTGAAGAGGAGGTTAAATTTGGAAATCAGGTTTTCCTTACATTTGGTCGACATAGTAGCAGCTGAAGAGGCAGTCATATTGTCTACATGTTCCCAATCCGATGTGGACATTATTGCCGTCAATGATAAGTGTGATTTGTAGAGTGTCTTGTCTAACTGATCTAGTTCTGTGCGTATAAGTCTGATTTTTTCTGAGATAAGAGCTAAGCTAGTTTTGAAAAGAATTCGTTTCGCATTAGAAGAAGTTACAACAGCAGAGGTCAGTGTAAATGCGATTGGTATTACCCCAGAGTCGCGGCATCTCTTCAGGAAGGTGAGAGACTCGATCAGCTGAGCTTTCTTATCCCGGAGTTTGTTGAAGGATCTTAAAGTTATGTGAAAACCCTCCCCATAGAGGCGATTAAATTTTGATTTAAAGCTTTCGTGACTGCAGTAATTCATATTCTTAGTTTTTTCGGTAAAGTCACGTTGAAGAGAAACAACAAAATAATAAAATATATATAAAACAATAAAAAATTCTCACGACGTTTCGACCATAACTCAAACGGTCATCTTCAGGTGTGTTGGTTTGCATAAATTTATTTTTAAACGGCGCATTTATTTAATTATAAAAAACGTTGGCGTCACGCGCAGCGATTTGGCAGTTTGCCCAGGACTAGTCCACCTATTTTTTTTTTGAAAAGAGGAGGGGGGAGACGAAATTTTTTATAATGTATGCTGTCTGAAAGCCACTGTAAGCGTGAACAATTAAGAACTGAAATGGTTTATCAAATCTTTCCAATGATTGCTAAGATAGAATCCATCTTCTCGGTTTTTTTTATAATTAAATAAATGCGCCGTTTTAAAATAAATTTATGCAAACCAACACACCTGAAGATGACCGTTTGAGTTATGGTCGAAACGTCGTGAGAATTTTTTATTGTTTTATATATATTTTATTATTTTGTTGTTTCTCTTCAACGTGACTTTACCGAAAAAACTAAGAATATGAATTACTGCAGTCACGAAAGCTTTAAATCAAAATTTAATCGCCTCTACGGGGAGGGTTTTCACATAACTTTAAGATCCTTCAACAAACTCCGGGATAAGAAAGCTCAGCTGATCGAGTCTCTCACCTTCCTGAAGAGATGCCGCAACTCTGGGGTAATACCAATCGCATTTACACTGACCTCTGCTGCTGTAACTTCTTCTAATGCGAAACGAATTCTTTTCAAAACTAGCTTAGCTCTTATCTCAGAAAAAATCAGACTTATACGCACAGAACTAGATCAGTTAGACAAGACACTCTACAAATCACACTTATCATTGACGGCAATAATGTCCACATCGGATTGGGAACATGTAGACAATATGACTGCCTCTTCAGCTGCTACTATGTCGACCAAATGTAAGGAAAACCTGATTTCCAAATTTAACCTCCTCTTCAACAAAAGACCGGACCCACACACCAAAAAGTTAGACGTTAATAAAGTCGTAATTAATCGCAGTAACAGTTCTATTTCCGATGGTCTGAAATCCGTTTTAGCTAAAGGTCTAAACTTTGCAGTCACACCTAAACACATACCAGTTAATGATATAATTGCCCAAGTAGACGTTGCTCTCAGGGGCCTGGGTCACATCGCTGCAGACGTAGCAAGATCTGAAATCGCTGCAACCCTCAAAAACGCTAAGATGCCAGCTAGCAACCTCAGCAAAGATGAGCGTTTTGAATTATATAAATTAAAAAAGAGGAATGATATTGTAGTCCTCTCAGCTGACAAAGGCAATGCTACTGTCATCATGGATAAAATAGAATACAACAACAAAATTAAAGAATTACTCGACGATGGTAGTTATACAAAAATAAAAAGAGATCCCACCAACAGCCTCGTCACACAAACCAACAAAATAATTTCTGATTCAACCGCATTAATTGATCAATCTAAACAGTTTTCGTTGAAACCTTCTGCTGCCAGGCCACCAAGATTATACGGCTTACCAAAAATACATAAAGTTGATACACCTCTTCGTCCCATAGTCTCTACTATCAGCTCCCCCACCTACAAACTAGCTCGTTTTTTGTCTGAAATCCTGCGTCCTTTCACTGGAAAGACCACCTCTGCGGTACAAAATTCTACTCACCTGGTATCGACAATCAAGGGTATTTCCCTGTCCCCAGACGACCTGCTTGTTAGTTTTGATGTAGTTTCCTTATTCACCAAGGTTCCTGTACCTGACACCATTGCAATCATTGAAGACTTGGTTCATCAAGGACTAAACACTGAGGTACCCCCCCTGGTGAGACACTGTTTAACCAATACATACTTCACTTGGAATGGAACTTTCTACAAACAAACTGAGGGCACCCCAATGGGCTCCCCCCTTTCTCCAGTTATAGCTAACATTTTCATGGAGAAATTTGA